GAGGAAAACTGAAAACTGTTGATCCGGTCCCTTCAACAGATTACAGCAAATTCTGGAGGAAAACAAGAAATTAGGACTAAAGTAAGAGTTTTGATCATAAAGCAGTTTAAAATGTTCCAACCTGAACGAAGACTTTGTTTCTGTGTGTGATTCAAACGGCAACAAACAGGAAACAGTTTGTTTTAAGAGGAAAAACCTGCTCTGAACAGGAAGTGACGTGCGTGAAGAGACGGAGGCTTCCTGCACACAAATAAACGTTTATTTGATTTAAACGGCAGCTCTGGAAGCTGATGGTAAACAAATTAAAACTTCAACCCAACACAGGAAATCATTTGATTTTATTACTAATACAAGTTTAACAACAAAAAAGGTTAAATGGTGTCATGTGGACCAGTTTCATTAAGTGAGAAACGCTTCGTCTTCCATCCTGAGGACTTCTTCAGTCTGCGGCCTGCCAACCACATCTGTCCCACAGGACTGCTGTTTGCAGACCTCCTGCTGGAATCTCAGGAGTTTTAACATGTGCAGAACAAACCATCCAAAACACATGATCCACATGACAAGAAGAACCTTTGTTGTCGTCATGTACCTGGATGATTGAGCTTACAACACTTTTTATATAAGTTTATTTTTATTCACATATGAAACAGATACAATAAATGAGACTGGATTCCCTGTTTTCACGTTTCAGCACTGAACCTCATGGTAAAAGTGTCAAATTTAATATTAAATCAAAGTTTAGGAAATAATATTTAGTACTAGAAAAACCCCTTTAAACCTTATCACAAAGAATGACGTCTTTTATTTAATTCGGCATAAAACTGACCTCCATTCGTTTCTTATGTTTACAGTAATCCTGCTGTTGAGCAGAAACACCTGCTGACGAAGAACTGAAAGTGAAACAGTTCGCCGGAAGTGAGAAGTTGAAAAGTTTCAAAAGCTTGCCTCGTTTTTCCGCGACACGTGCACATGTACAGACACACCTGCTCACCTTCTGCCACGAGCACGGAGAGGCGGGAAATGTTCGTGAAACAGCCGCAGAGCAGCAGGAGGAGCCCGGGGAGCTTCATGTGGACGGACACGACGGTCGGTGCTGGCGGAGGGATACACAGCGGCTGACCGCAGCACGCCGCGCCGTGCGTCACTGCGGCGCCATGTTGGTGAGGGCGACCTGCCGGGTAATCAGAAATATGAACCTACAAACAACTTTTGTCTGGTTCATTCACGAAAAATGTGCAACAACTTTATGTTTCAGGGACTTTAATATTTTTCTAAATATGTAACGTCATTTATAAATATTTCCAGATAAACAGATCTCTTTAATTCATTATTTGTTTTTTTTTTAAACAAGCTTTAGCTGCTGGTGGTTTTCATCCACTTAAGCCCATTTTAACTTTTAGCTACAGAGCTGCTAGTTTTAGTTTTCTGATTTAAGCTTATGTGACATTTTTACTAGATGTAACTTTTTGTTACTAGTTTGTTAATTGTATTTTATATGTAATTTTTGCTCATTTTAATTTGTAGTTCTCCTTTGCTAAATGTAGCTTTTAGCTAAAGTTAGGTAAAGTTAGGTAAAGTGTAGCTTTTAGTTACTAGCTTGCTAAATGCAGCTTTTATGTATGGTTTTGCTCATCTGAAGCTTTTGGCTACATGTGTGCTAGGTTTAGTTCTTAGTTACTAATATGCTAAATGTAGCTTTTAGGTAGGGTTTTGCTGTTTAAGGATTTGGATACTGATTTCAGCTTGTGGCCGGGGTTTTGCATCATTCAGCTTTTTCTTATGATTTTGTTAATGTAGTTGTGATTTTGGTAATTGTAGCATTTAGTTACAGTTTAGCTCATTTTAGCTTTAGGGTACTATTTTGTTAATGTTAGCTTTTAGTGCGTTGCATCATTTAGCTTTTATAGTGTTAATTGTAGCTGCATGAACTTTAAATTGGCTGACTGTACCTTTTAGCTGTGTGCTGTTAGCGTTAGCTTCTTCTTCTTGTTAGGTGCAGTCAGGCTCAGGTTGGGGATGACCCTCAGCTACTACCATCTGAGAAACTGAACTTGTTTCGGTTAAAGTCGGTCAGCTGTGGCGGCCATCTTGGATTGACTCTATAAGTGGGTCAGTCCAGATGTTCGTCCAGTGATTGTTAAGCTGAGGGGTGATTCTGGAGATATTTTGCTAACAGGTCTGTTGTGATGAAATGCTGCCACCTGCTGGCTGTAACTTCCGGTTCTGCTGGATCTGTTCTGTTTGTAGGTCCAGTTTCATTTCAAGGACATTATTAGTCATTAATCTTCATGGAGTTGAACTCATCCCAACAACACCTCAAAGAAGACTTTTATTTTCTTAAAGACAAACATCTGAACTTCCTGTTACTCTGCTCGAGTCCAGAACGAATCCAGAACCTGTGGTTCTGTCAGGACTCCAACCCACGTGGGGTTGAAGTTTCTCTTGTTGCCAGGAGCAGCAGCCTCCCTCAGCGCGCGCTCTGATTGGTCAGCTGCTCGCCCGCTCCGACCAATCAGAGCCCAGAGCGTCCGTCATGACAATCCGTGTCCCTTCAGCTGGTTCTGGTTCTGGTTCTGGAGACCTTTGGGTCTGATTTTATGCTTTTGATCCGCTGATTGTTTCGTTTATCAGCGCGTGAGCGTCAGGCCGGAAGTTGTAGGAAATAAAACAGTTTTAATGTTTTTATTTCCTCCCAGACAGACGCACGGCTGCACCGCAGAAAGTCAAGCTCACGCCGATGAACGCAAACAGGACTTCCGGTGCACAAACCGCACGCTCTTTTTTAACAAAATAAAAGGTCGAGTGGATTTTTTTCATTCAACTTTTATTTCTACAGAAGACACTTAGAGAGGTCAAAGGTCGAGAGCTTCAGGTCTTTTTACAAGATATTCCAGGAAACAGGAGCGGAGTAGGAGAAGGTCCTTTAGTCTAGTTCAGTCCTCACTGAGGGGACACTGCAGGTAATGATGTCCTGAGAGCGCACGCTGTAGCTGCACTCACACAGAGACATGTAGGAGGAGATGTATGAAGGCAGCAGACCAGGAAGTGATTTAAAGATGAAAATGTACCAGTGGGAGAGTCTGTGTGAAGTTACTGGTGACCAGTTAACCAGTGGAAACAGCTGTTGTGGCACTTTAACACTTTTATTCATTATTTAAATATAGTTTTAGTATAAAATCCAGTTAAATGTGTCCATTATAATGACAAGTGCAACTTTAAATTTGTCTTTTAATATTTTGCACAAGATGTGAGCATGTTTAAAGTCTCAAACAATGTTAATTTAAATTGTTAATTTTTAGGAACTAAAACTCAAAACTATATTTAATCTGAGACTTTGTACTTTGAACAGTTTTGAGCACATTTATTTTATTTATTATTAGAGTTTAACTTGTTAACCATGCAGTTGCATTTGTGTTGTTCCTGGAAGCCTCTTAAAAAACTAATCATGAAAAGCGCTGGAAAAGAAGACATTTAAATGTTCTTATGTTTTTATATCTTTAAACCATTTCAGAATCACAGGTTTAGGTTTTAAGTGTCCTTTAAGCCCATTAGATTATGTATATGTTTTATTTTAAACCTATTTTATCTTATAACTTAATGTTTCTCCAAGTCTTAAGGAGTGTTTAAAGTTCTGGCACCTCTCAATGTGAATGTACAAACAGATTTTCTTATATTTTAAAATAGTAAACACATTCTAGAAGTGATGTAAAAAACTAAAAACAGGAACGACTGACAAACATGTTTTTATGTCTTATGTTTGAAGCCACTTAGAGAGATCAAAGAGTTATAAATATATAAATTAAGAATTATACTTCCTGTCTGTCATAAATACATGTTGTTTCTGTTTACAGCCCATTATCCGCTAAATGCCTTTATTTTGAAAGTCTCGGTGGCCACGCGGCGGAAGTGGGTCGCGTCCGGCAGCGCTGGCTTCACGTGCCGCTGGCTCTGATGGCGGCGGGGCTCGCGGAGGGTCGCACCAAAGAGGGAGAGCGAGGAGGCGGGGGGGGCTGAGCGGTACCGAGCACCGACACCCCGAGCAGAACCGAGCCGAGGCCCCCGGACCGAGACCGAGCCGCGCGACCGGATGGATGGAGTGGTACGGGGGGTGCTATCAGAGTGGGGGGGGGGGGGCGACCCGCCTCTAACGGCCGGGGGGGGGGGGGGTGTCTGCTGTCGGGTCAGCTCCGGGTGTAAACACCGGAAATCTGATCGGTGCGTTAAAATCTGCGTTTTCTCACCGGCCTGTCTGTAAGTACGTGTGGTGCGTTCACTGACCGTCATGATGTTTTCCAGGATGCACAGGCGTGTGTGCGCGCGGAGTGCGTGCGTGCTTGCGTGTGTGTGCAGCACTGCAGCATGCAGACAGAACTTGGCCCGGTGAGAAACTCTTAGACCACGGTGGTTTCTGCAGAGTGCGCGTGTGTGCGCGCGCGTGTGTGTGCGTATGCAAATGAGAGGACTTGGGAACACTCCTGAAAAGTGGGGACATTTTGATTTCGGTCCCTGCAGCTTGTTGGACCTTTGAGGGACCGTGTCAGACCTGGTCCAGGTCTCATCCAGCTCTGATCTCTGGTCCCAACCACAGCCAGACCTTCTTGTAATATTTTGAATGTTCAGTTCTTCAGACTTTTAAAGTTTTATTTGTATTTAATTTTCGCGGTGTCTGGGTCCAGGCCGGTGTCCGGGTCTGAGCTGCAGCGCGATGCAGCTCAGACCCGGACACCGGCCTGGACCTGATGCAACACATGAGTGCCTGCAGAGGGCACCTGCATTTTTAATGTGTCGGTCTGTGTGCCAGCGGGAGTGTGTCG